TTACCCAGATCTCCCCATAACCTGGACTTTGAGGATCGTCCCCAAATCCTGTGAGGATTACCCCCACTGCAGTCCTCTCAGTGAGCCTTCATTAGCGCCCCCTAGAGTTTTTCTTTGGTGGTTCAATGATTGTCCCTGAGGACCAGCTTTTTGAAAACCATTGTCGGTTAATCAGCCTGCTGAGCATCATGATCTTTATCATCATAATCATCACCTTCGTCATCATCTTCTTCAGCCCCAACGTCACCAGCACTCCCACCAGCGTCCATTACAGGTCTTGAATCCTTTTATGCCAGGCTCTGTGATAAATGTTTATTTAATCCTCTCCACATTCCTACAAGGAAGGCAATATCATTAACTTCTTTTTTAAAAATGAGGGAACAGGGAAGTGAAATAACTTGCCAGTGGTCATATAATTAATAAATGATAGCTCTAGAATGCTCATCCGACATCTTCGCTCTCAACCAGTTCCCTGGATGTGCTCACAGGATGGCTCTGAATGGACCTTTTTTTGTTTTTGTTTTTAAATCCTTCATAAGCATTTTTTCTTGAATTTCTTGGGTCTCTTAATGGCCTCTCTTGGGAGGCACTTGGGAGGCGTCATTAGAGAGAAGATTCTATTATTTATTGCCGAGCTGTCATCTTCAGTCATTACTGGGACTCAGAACATACTACACTCTTTCAGGAAAGAGTCATATAATGGGGCTCTCTGGAGGGATCGGATCTCCTGTCTTCCTTCAGATTATACTGTGTACTACCATCATCACCAGTGATAATTAGGGATCAAAGCCCCACACTGAGTTCAGCCTCCAGAGCCTCCATCTTGTGGGTTGTATTCAGTGAGGTAGAGTATGCCCTCAGTGTTTTCGAACCGACAGGAATGCAGCACTCTGGGAAGCTGAGTTTATGGTTAGCCCTTTAAGTGCACTACCCACATGTACAAAAAGGTGAATATTTATCATTCAGAAACATTACTTAATAATATTTTTATCAAAATATAACTTACCAGTGGGAAAGTTCACAAATCACAAAGCTTAGTGAATTATCACATGTTGAATACACTCATGCAACCGGTCCCCAGATTGAGAAACAGAACATGATCAGCATTCCAGAGGCATCCCTTGTGCCCCTCCAGATCACTTCTCACTCCACTTTGCCACATGTGTAACTGCTGTCCTGACCTCTGGCATCATAGATTAGTCTGTTTTTGAACTTTATATAGATCTTGAGTGAAAGAAGACACACAGCTTTTGTGTTATTTTGTGTGTCTTCTTTCACTTGATTATGTTTATGAGGTTCATTCCTGTAGTATGTAGTAGTAATTCCTTCATTTTCGTGACTACGGTGCATTCAATTATACGAATATGCCATAACTTACATATCCGTCCTACTGATGATGGACATTGAGTGTTTCCGTTTGGGTGCCAATACAAACAATGTTACTATGAATCTTCTGACAGGTGTTGTGTGGTACTCATCTGTATGCATCCCTGTTGATTTAGGGTGGCATTACTGGATCATAGGGTATGTATGTGTTCAGCCTCAGTAAATACTGCCGAAGAGTTTTCCATTGAAAATTGCTTGTTTTTGGTTCACCAGTGTGTGAAAGTTCCAGTTAACGTTTGATATTGTTAATCCTTTTTCGTTTAGTCAACCTGGTAGAAATGCAGTAATTTTTATCTCCCTGTTCACTAACAAGGTTGAGTGTCTTTTCATATGCTTTTTGGCCATTTGGGCACCTTCTTTTATGAAGTATTAGTTCATGTGTTTTGCCTATTTTTCTCTATCGGGTTGTCTATCTTTTTCTTATTGATCTGAAAGAGTTTTTATATGCTTTGGATTAAAGTCAATTGTGGTTAAATGCGTTGCAAATATCTTCTTCCACACTCTGCCGTACTTGTTCCTAATGGTGTCTTTTCTTGAGCAAAATTTTTATATCATCCCACTTATGTATCTTCTCCTTTATTGTCAGTTTTGTTTTTTTTTTTAATGTCCTGTTTAAAAGTCTTTCTGACTCCAAGGTCATTCATATTTTATCCTCGGCCAACTTCTGAAAGCTTTGTTGTTTTGTTCTTCACATTTAGCTCTACCATCTGTGTGAAGTTTATTTTGTGTATGATGTGTAAGACCAAGATTCACCTGTTTCTACCTAGTTGACCAGTTGCCCCAGCAGCTCTGTTGAAGATAATTGTCTTTTCCCCCAATTGCTCTGCAGTACATCCTTAATCGTACATCAAGTTTCCAGGTACTTGTGGAACTTTTTCTGGATCCCAAACTATACAATTGGCCTTTTTTCCTTTCCTTGCTAGAATACACTGGCTGAACTTCTATAGCTGCATAAGTCTTGATACGTGGTAGTACAAGCCCACCAACTTTTCACTTCTAGAGATTGCCTTGGGTATTCTTGACCCTTTGCCTTTTCATATACATTTTAGAATCAACCTGTCATTTCACAAAAAAAACATGATGGCAATTTAATTTAGATTGCACTAAATCTATAAATCAATTTGAGAAGAACTGACATCTTTATAATACTGAGTTCACTAGTCCATGAACACAATTCAGTAAACTTAATTGCACATCAACTCTGTGCTAATCACTGTGCTGAGCCTAGATGTGGTTCTTGCTTTTGAAGGACTTGAACGAATAGGTAAACAAACACTTATCCACAAAATGCAATGTGATAATCTCATCACTGATAATAAGAGCTAATATTTATTAAGTGCCTATTATATTCCAGGCAGGATTTTAAGAACTTTACGTGTATTAATTAATTTACACTTCACACTGATACTTGGAGGTAAGTGCTTTATTATGCCCACCTATAGGGTTTTTTTTTAACTGAAGTGCAGTTGACATACAATATTATATTAGTTTCAGGTGTACAACATAGTGATTCAACATTTCTATGCATTACAAAGCAATCACTGTGATAAATCTAGCTACTATCTGTTGCCACACAAAGTTTTTACAATATCATTCACTATATTCCCTATGCTGTATGTGGCATCTCCATGTCTTATTTATTGTATAACTGGAAGTTTATACCTTTCAATCTTCTTCCCCTATTTCACCCATCCCCCCATTCCCCTCCCGTCTGACAACCACTGGATTATTCTCTGTAACCATGAGTCTGTTTCTGTTTTCTTTTTTCATTTGCCACCCCTACTCTAAGGCTGTCAGTCTGTTCCTCAGAGATCTCAGCTCTTTCTTCTGACATCATACTCATCATTTTCTGCTGGCCACTGTTGAGCACCATACTTTCCTGACTCTATTTTACTGTGCTTTTTCTCTCACCCTTTCTTCCTTGCTAGGAAGATCTATCTGACCTTTTCTAGACATCAGTAGCCTATCAGAATGCTCTATTACTTTTGTGGGATGAACTGACCAATTAGAGCATGATATTTGCAATCTTTGTGTCTCAAAGTCCTTCCCTGAGATGTTGTTATGACCACTGCTGCCTTATCTAAGACGGTTGTTTTAGTTTTTAGGGTTTGGGGGTCCTTTATGTTTAGGACTGAAACTAGAAGACTAGAATATCCTTCCCTGACAAGGGGTTGCTTATCAGAATCACATAAATGTTATATGTTAAATGAACTGATTTTTAAAATTTCAAAACTTAACCCTTGTGGAATACCCATACTATGCCAAATATACTCACTATGTACAATTCTGGGTGGAACGTTCAGCTGGGGAGGGAGTCTGGCCCTACGTCTGCCTCTGGATGGTCTGACTACCTTGGGGTGTCTGTTGACCTCTCTGTGTCTTTGTCTCCTGTCTGTGAAAATAGAAGGCTGGAATAGAGGATTCTTGGGATAGGCTTGAGGCTCTAATAGTCTATAATTCCATGTTTAAAGGCCAGAATCTTAGCACTTTGATCCACACAGTAATTTAAATCTCAACTTATGTAAATATCAAGAAACCTGAATTGAGCATTTATTAGATGTCAGGTTCTGTGCTAGGTGCTAGGGATACAAAGAGAATTAAAATGAGTTCCTCTCCAGCATAACTCACAGTCCAGTGGAGAAGGCAGATAAAAAGAGAATTGCAATGCAGTGCCAAAATTGCAATAAAGGATTTCCATCTCGGGAAATTGGGGATACAAAGGAAGGAATGACCATTATTGCTAAGAAGGCCCTTGAGCTAGATTTCCATGAAAACATAGTTATCTGGGTAGATGTGAGAAGGAAGAGTATAATGTAGATTCATAACTCCAGCTGCTGTAATATAAGTTTATTTCCAGTTCATGCAAAGTACAATATGGATGTTTCTGGTCAGTGGGTGATTCTCTATGTAGTTATTCAGAAACCCAGGTTCCTCCCATCTTGTGGCTCCACCACTTCTCCCAGGACACCAGAGTCTTCTGCTGGATCCCCTGCATTCTGCAGCCATAGGTGGGAAAGGAAGAGTGGAGGATCCTGTGGAAAGTTTGTGTGGGCCAGGCAGGAAGTGGTAAGCATCATGTCTGTCTGTGCTTTCCCTTGGCAGAAAGAGGGTGCAAACAGACCTAACTTCAAGGGAGGCTGGGAATGTGGTCTAGCTGAGAGCCCACAAGAAAAAGGAAGTATGGTTTGGAAAACACACAGCAGTCTCTCCCCGCCAAAGGACTTCCTAAGGGAGTTTCTGCTGTGAGAGGCTAGATTTCTCTTGGACCAGTCTAATGGAAGTGTAACATTAGATAGCTGTCAAGACAGGGGTTGCTGACCAGGGACTATGTTTATCAAATTGTGGATACTAGGACAGAGCTCACCGAACCTTTGCTGGTTCAGGGAGGCCCAACTGAGATCCTAGCTGAGGCATTTCGCAAGCTCTAAAATGTAAGGGGGAGCAGAGTGGAGGGCAACAGTTCACAACTCTCAAAGGGATGGGGCTTTTCCACCGTCCGCAGTCCCTCCGACCCACAGGCCTGGCGTATTGATGGAGAACTCGCAAACATCCGTTTGTCAGATGGAAGCCAGCTAATTCCTGTGCTCTTAATTTGCTTTCCTCTCTCTCCACAGTAACGCTTTCAGCTGCCCCTCCCTCCTACTTCAGAGGATTCACCTTAATTGCCCTCAAAGAGAACAGAGAGGGTGATAAGGAAGAAGACCACGCTGGGACCTTCCAGGTAAGACCCCTCTGGGATCTTCCGTGGCCCTCGTGCCCTCGTGGGTGGAAGCCAGGTGGAAGGTGGACATACTGAGGAGCTTGAGTGACAGAAGAGACCCAAGTGCCTGAGGTGGCTTCTCGGGTACTTCCCTTGACCATAGGCAGGGTGGGTTAGGTCCATTAGAAAGACGCAAAATGGAGTAGGCAGCAAATGCCTGAAGGCCTTCAGGTCCAGCCAGCAGGCAGGGCTATTCTCTGGGCTCACAGTGCCTGCAGACAGCAGACAGCCCAGCACCGTGGGAGCACTTGGAGCCCTGGCGGGCCCGGCTGTTTTTCCTGAGAGCCGTTTCGTGACTGACTGGCCGTTCTCAAGTGTAAATGGAACGAGAGCTTAGAATGGCCAGACTGGAAGGAATACGAAGCATAGGAGAAGGACTATTAAGGGAATGAAGAGATTGATTTATGAGAGGAGATTAAAAGAATTAAACATGCTTTGCTTGGCTAAATGAACAGGGCTGAGTGTGAGAGGTGGTAATGGTCTTTAAATGTCAGTCCTCACAGAACAACCTCCTCCAGGGGAGGCTGCGTTTGACTTTGTACAAAAGGGCACAGCAAGACGAAAGTGGGTCAAGAGAAGAAAGAGAATCACAAAGGCAAGGGCCCTGACAGTGAGTCATATTTCACCGTGGAATATCCTTCCAAGGGAAATGGCGGGAACATCATCCTCTTTCAGAGGTTTAGAAAAAAGGCCGTCCAGTCGTCAGAACATGTCCCAGAAGGATTGGGGCCATCCTAGGAGGAGGCCTGGCCAAATTGGCTGTAACCATTTCTCATCTTAAATTTCCATTGTTCTAGAATCCGTTTTTTATCTGCCATTTGCAAACTGAGAAGAAAAAAAAAACCCTCAAAAGTACTTACACCCATAGTTACCTGCCTGGGACTCTGGTGCAATTGTGGGTGCCACCGAGGACCCTGCCCCAAAATATCTTCCCCGCCCAAAGACATCTTTTAATCTTTTGTAGCCAGGTTGTAATTTTGAATCCCATGTTTTAAAAAATGTCCATTGTTTAGGCTTCTGGGCCTCTAGCCTAGTGTTAATTCCATGCTCATTGTAATGTCCTTCAGTGTACTTAGGTAGCAGGAACTTTCTTGGCATATATCTGAAGACGTTACCCAATTATAATATAATTATAATACTAACGATGCCCAATATTTGTTGGGTTCTGACCATATGCCAGGCATTAGGTTAAGTTCTTTAGCTTATTTTGGTTTATCTTATCTTAATCTAATTAGTATAACTCATCTCACTTTGATTCTCCAAACAACCAAGTAGATAGGAACTAGTATTCCTATTTTATGGATCAGGAAATTGAAACTAGCAAGATTAAATCATTGGCTTTAACAGCTAGTAAATAGTAAGGCCAGGTTCCTCCACCAGGTGTCTGATTCCAGAGACTAAATTGTTCAATCTCTGAATAGTACTGAATAAGCTCCTGGCACGAGTGTGTTTGGACAGTGTGTTGGTAAGGTTGTCATCATAACAAAAGGGAGATTCATGCATGAATTCAGCCCACAAAGCATTGAGATATATTCCCCTGGTCCCTGTTGTGCTAATTTACCTGGAGGTGTAGATGATTTTTCAGATTCAGGCAGCTGAGAGATCTGGGTGCCTGAGTGTCTGGAGGGGTAAAGTTCTATGAAGAGAAGAGGTAGAGGGTTGGATGGGGGATGTGTGACCTTAATTTTCACCCAAACAAAATTTATCTGCTCTAAAATGTTGCTTAGAGATATATGCTCAAAAGAGTTGAAATCAGGGTTCAAACAGGTATTTGTACCCCCATGTTCATAGTAGCACTATTCACAGTAGCCAAAAGGTGTAAACAACCCAAGCATCCATTGATGCAGGAATGGATAAACAAACATGGTGTATACATACAGTGCAATATGAATTCTTAAAAAGGAAGGGAATTCTGACACATGTTACAGCATAGATGAACTTTGAAGACACTGTGTGAAGTGAAACAAGCCAGTCACAAAAGGACACATGCTGTATGATTCCACTTACGTGAGGGACCGAGAGTAGTCAAATGCAGAGAAACAGAAAGTTCAATGGTAGCTGCCAGGGGATGCATGGGAGGAGGGAATAGGGAATCGTTGATGAACAGGTATAGAGTTTCAGTTTGGAAGATGAAAAAACATTCTGGAGGGGGACAGGAGTGATGACTGCATGAAAATTTGAATGTACTTGATGTCACTGAACTGTGCACTTAAAACATTAGAATGGTCAATTTTATATATATTCTACCACACACACACAAACGATGCCTGAGTTAGGCTTAATGGGGACATGATGTGGAGTTAGGCATGAGGAGTTATGTGGCTTCTTTCTTTAAAGGCTATTCTGTTTTAATTTGATAGATTGATAGTCCTCTCCACCTCACTGTCATTTCTACTCCCCTAAATCTTGGTCCTTTCAATTGATGGGTGAATACAGGGCCCAGCTCACAGTGGGGAGTGAGCAGATGTTTATTGAATGAATAAATGAACACATTATTCTTTCCACTAGTGTCCATTGCTCAGTCATATTTGGAATTTTCCAGAACTCTTATCTCTTTACACATCTTTCCTTCTTCCTTTTTTTGGAGCTTTGGACATCCTTTCATGTTACATCACGATGGTTCTCCGAGTGTGGTCCCTGGACTAGCAGCCTCAGCACCATCTGGGCACTTGTTAGAAATAAAAAATCTCAAAACCCACCCAGACCGACTGAATGAGAAACTCTGAGGGTGGGGGTTTCCACGACCTGTGCTTTAACAAGCCTCAGGGTGAACCCAGTGTCTGCTGGAGTTTGAGAACCAGTGTTGAAATGAGACCTGGATCCAGCCCATCTGACAAGAACAACATATGTGTCTGCTCCCTCATAGTCTCGCTGCTTCCCCCAGCCCTGGAGGAATCAAAGTGGGAAACAGATACGAAAAACACCGAGCAGACAGTAATAATGCTTCTGTGCCAGATAGTGTTCTAAGTGGTTTATATGTTTTTTTTTTAAAGATTTTTATTTATTTGACAGAGAGAGACACAGTGGTCATTTATTAACTGATTTAATCCTCAGAGCAATGCAATGAGATAGGCATCGTTGTCCTGTTTTTCACAGATGAGGGAATTGCGACACAGAGCAATTAAGCAACTTTCTTAAGACCACTCGGCTCTGAGTGATAAAGCTGAGATTCAGACTCAGCCAGTCGGCTCCAGATCCCTGCTCCCAACCACCATCTACACTGTCTCTCAGTGTGTCCGTGTGAAGTGAAAACGTGAGGGTCTACTATGACTTTTTTATGGCGGAAGTCTCTGTGCCGAGGGCTTTATATGCATTATCCTCCTTAGTTCTCACAGCAACCCTGTGAGGTCAGTGTTGTTACCCCCATTTTCCAGAGGATGGAACAGAGTCTCCAAGCTGCTAAGTAAATTGACCAAAGTAGCCAACATCTACATGGGGGAAAGGGGCCAAACCGTGTGCCAATGATGTCCTCATACTTCCTGTCTCCCCCACCCCCTGCCTCGCCCTTGTGCATTAAATGCACACTTCACTTTGGTTCCCCTTGTCTCAGAGGTCAGAGAGGGAGAACCACAGCCCGTCCGTCTTCCCTCTCCTGCTTTAGACACCAGGGTCTCTGTACGTGCCCCTCCCACTCTAGCCTACACGTCTTTTCTCTGTCTACCAAAGCTGTCATCTTCATTTATTCCTGAGCATTTATGGAGCGTCTCCTGCATGCCAGGCCCTGAGGTAGGCCCTGGGGGTAACGGCGGTGAGAAAAGCAGACACAGTCCTGCCCCCCTGCAGCTGACGGTGTCCTCCCTGGAACCGTAGCTTACCTTTACCTCTGCCGCCAGCTGGCAGCGAGTCAATGGCGGGAACACGAGCGGGTGACCAAAAACTACAAAGGCCGTGGTGATTTTAAAAACATACCCGGAGTGGTTAACAAATCTTTAGATCTACTTCTTCGTTAACATCCTCACTCCAAAGACAACAATTTTGAGGACTTCACAACAGCAACGAAATTGTCCTATTCTTTAAATCTGGTCAAAGATTACATTCTTAGTTCTAAAAAGTGGCTCTGAGAGTGGGTGATTTTGCTTCTACATGAGTGAGCCCTTACACAGGGCGCACAGACTCACCGGGTACAAACAAATGTCAATCTTAATGCCCCTTTAGACTCGGCGGGGTGGGAATGGGGTGGCTGGGTACAGGGTCGCCCTCTCACCAGGTGGCAGAAGGCCCAGGGAGAAGGGGGTGGGCTGCTCCTCTGCTTCCCACAGCGGGTCCAGCATGGCAGCCTGCGCCAACTAGGGTATCTGTCTCTGGCTGCCAGAAGGGAGAGACATGGGACCCTCTCTTTGATGAGTGAGCTGGGTGTACTTATGGTTAATTGAAAGTGACAAGGAATGCAGGGTATGGACTGTCTGCACAAAAGCAACCCACTAATCCTTAAAATTGTATTGCTAAAACCCAGTTGCTCCCTGGAATGCTCACGGCCCAGCCAACTGTCTAGCTCATTCTCCCACTTCCTTCAGGTCTCTGCTCAGATGTCCCTTTCTCAGGGAGGCCATCTGGATCACCCTATTTGAAACTTCCTCCCCGCTCCTCCTTCATTTCCTGGGCTGGACTTCCTGGCCTTCTTCCCCACTTAATTTTTGTCCTGTTGCCTTTTTGGCACATGATGTGCCATTTTACTTGTCAACTTGAGTGTTCTCTGCCCCCTTCCATTAAATTATAAGCTCCATGAGACAGGGATTTTTATTTGTCTTGTTTGCTGCCATATCCCAACTGTGCCCCACATGGAGTAGGCACTCAAATATTTATTGACAAAATATTAAGCTGCTCATTTATAATACCATCCTTTATTTTTTTTAAGGCCCGTATATGCATCAACCAGCTTAGGTAATAGTCTGCCAATCAAAGGAAGAAAGCCTCATTTATAAAGGGTTGTTTGCCTGAGAAGATCCCTTATCAATACCATA